TTTTTTTTGGACAGGGTCTCACTGTGCAGTTCAGGCTGGCCTTGAACTTACTGTGTAGCCCAGGCTAGCCTCAAACTTGCAGCAACCCTCCTGCCTCAGCCTCCGAGGGCTGCATCTGTAGACCTGTACCACCAGGCTGCACTCTATGGTGTCTTTGATTCCCTAAAAAGCCCTGGGTGGAAGCTAGTCCACACCCCTCCTTAGGATGGCGCGTTTGCCATCTGGGAGCAATAATGTAAGTGCTTCACGCTTCCTGGATGGAAGGGTTGGGAATTTACGCTCTAGACCGGGAGTGCACACCAGGGTAGCAGAGAAGCCGAAGTAGGCTGAAGTGACCACCAGTACCGGCCCAGGAGTTAGCTGGGCTCAGGGCTTGGTTACACCTGACATCAGGAATGGACCCCAAGCAGCAGGAGCCTCCTGGACTTTATCTTTGCCTCGACTTTGCCCCCAGTGTGCGGTGGGAGTGTGTGTGGCCCATGCAGGCCCACGGGGTGGGGGGATTGGCTCCTCCTGCACTTGAATTCCCAGCCCGCACTTCAGCTGTGGACTAAGAGGAGGGAGCGCCCTGGGGCTACATCCCCGTTCGTTTGCGTGTGTGTGGCGGGGGGGGGGGGGGGGGGGGAGGATCCAGCCCCAGCCTCACATCCTAGCCACGGATCTACTGCTGATCGGCACCCCAGCCCGGAAGGACCTTTAAGTGCATAACCAGGTGTGGTGGCGCATGCCTGTGATCTCAGCACTTGGGAGGCTGAGGCAGGAGGATCACTGTGAGTTCAAGGCCAGCCAGGGCTACATAGTGAGACACTGTTTTAAAAAACGGGGAGAGAGAGAGAGCCAACTTTAAAGCGCCGGCTGCTTAAAGCCAGACTCATGTCACCCTGAGTTATCGTCCGTCCTTGTCCACATCTGACCCACTGCCTCTCTGTACCCTCAAGCAGGGGCAATGTTCACCCACCCCCGCTGGAGAGACGGTAATGGGTGGCTGGGAAAGTGGGGCCGGGAGAGACTGCGCGCTGGGTCACACAGCAGCCCACCTCTGCCAGCCGCTGAGGCTGCAGGCTCGGATTTCCAGCCCTCAGGATTCAGGCCCAACAGAGTGGCGAAGCAGTCGGTCATCTCCTCCTCAGTCATGTGCTCACCTGTGGACAGACGGCAAGGCAGCTGTGGCTGGCTGAGAAAGACCCAACTGGCTTTCTGCCAAGTTCCCTACCTCAAGTCTGCTCTAGTTTTCTATTTAGTTTTCATGGGTTTTTTTTTTTGTTGTTGTTGTTCTGTTTTGTTTTTGGTACTGGGGATCGAACTCAGGACCTTGTGCTTGCAAAGCAGGGGGGGAACCACTGAGCTAAATCCCTGGCCCTGATTTGTTTTTTTTTGACACAAGGTCTTACTGTGTAACCCAGGCTGGCCTTGAACTCACAGAGATCCTTCTGCCTCAGCCTCCAGAGTGCTGGGATTACAGATCTGTGCCACCACAACAGGTTTTGGATCCACTCTAGTTTGACAGAGATGAAAAAGTCCCACCCAGAGAAAGCCTCCCTGACTCCCTCACCATCAAATAATGAGGAAAAAAATTGGCAAAGGTGAAAAGCTTTCCTGGGGCGTGGGTTTATTTCACAAATGCCTCCCAACGTTGGGTGTGGAGGCACAAACCTGTAATCCTGGTACTCGTGAGGCTGAGGCAGGAGGGTCACCCAAAGTACAAGGCCAGTCTGGTCTAGTGAGGCCCTGTCTCAAAAAATAAACAAAAATCCCACAAAAGCAAACACATCTGTCTCACAAGAGCCCCGTGGACCAGAAAGCAGACGCGAGCCCTGATGGCACAGACAGGACACACTGAGGCCCCGCAGCAGCCCTGTCCTGAGGTACCCAGGGCTGTGCCCTCGGCCGCAGTCACCTGTGGTGAGGAGCAGCCGCAGGAGCGCCTCCCTGCGCACCGCCTTCTCGCTCTTTGCGTTGGGGGTGCCCAGCACCTCGAAGCTCTGCCGGAGGCCACTCAGGGTGTTGCCAAAGGGCGGCCTGTGGTTGACGTACACCTTGAGGAAGTCGGGCAGGTTGATTCTGTCGATCAGCTTCCCTGTGTCTGCGTACTCGCTAAATCTGATCTCGTTAAACATGTCCTCGATCTAGGGAAGAGAGTCAAAGAGCAAGTTCAGCCTGTCCTTGAGCTCACTGTGTAGCCCAGGCTGTGGTGAGCTTCCTGCCTCTCCCTCCCAAGCAATATGCTGAAGTCTTAGCCCTCCAGACTCTATTAGAAACAAGGTCACTGGAGCCAGCGTGGGTGCATGCCTATGACTCCAGCACCCAGAAGGCTGAGGCAGGAGGATCTCTGCAAGGCCAAGGCCAGCCTGGGCTACACAGTAAGTTCAAAGTCAACCCAGAATCTATAGCAAGACCCTGTCTCTAAAAAATAAAAATAAATGTTTCCAGCACTGGTTGGTTGGTGCTGTTACAGGTGCTTTCGGCTATAACACAGTATCAAGTTTGTCACAGCATAAGAAGCACATAAATACTGTTTCATTTCACTCCCTTTTCCTGAAGATCTCCACGTATCAGCTACTTCCTTGCCTTGTGAAGCAGACAGTTTCATTTTAAAGATAGAACCTTCAGCCAGCCTGTCCTTTTGGCATGCGACTGTTATTCCAGCACTAGGGAGGCCAAGGCAGGAGGAGCACCGTGAGTTTGAGGACAGCCTGAGTCACACACGAGGAACCCGTCTCAAAAAAGCCCAAGAAACAAAAACAAAAAGAGAATCTTCCAAAAATTTAGAAATGAGTTTGGCTGACTAAGGAAATAATACAGCAGGAAACTCAAATACAGGACAAATGGGCCTACTAGGTTTAAGATAATTAACTTCATTATGGTGTTTTTCCCCCTCTTTTTCTTTTCTGTTTTTAATATGTAAGATAGATTATATGGGACACACATGGAATTTATGCCGTGAAATTTAAAAAATAAACAAAGAAGAAGCCATCAGTCACCTGAAAAGAGCAACAAAATCAACACAGTTGAGCTGGACTAACCGAGAAACAGAAAAGAAGACTCCACTGACTAAAATCAGGACGGAAGACGACGTCAGAGCGACCCTGCAGGAATAAACGGACACAGCACTGCGCGTCTGGAGGCCGACAGGCACTGCAAACTAGAGGGCAGGGACAGACTCCCGGCAAGACACACGGACAGCAGCTGAACAGACCTGCGCCAGTGAACACTGAACTACTGATTCTTTTTCCAATCTTCCCCCCTCATGGTACTGGGGATTGAACCCAGGGCCTTTGCACTGAGCGAGGTCACCAGCTTTGCTTTCTTCTTTTGAGACAAGGTCTTGCTAAATCACTCAGTTGCCCAGGCTGGGCTTGAATCTGTGACCCTCCTGCTTCAGCCTCCAAGAATGCTGAGATTATAGGCCACTGCACATGGCTTGAATTAACTATTTTATTTTTATCATTTATTTTTGAGACAGAGTCTCGTGGTAGTTCAGGCTGACCTTAAATTCATTATGTAGCCCATGCTGGCCTCGAACTCAAGGTGGTCCTCCTGCCTCAGCCTCCAGAGTAATGAGATTACAGGTGTGCGCCACCACACCCAGCTCTGAATTAGTAATTTAAAACTTCCCGCAAAGAAAAGCCAAGGCCCAGATGGCTTCCCTGATGAATTCTCCCAAGTACTTAAAGAGAAATACAGTACCAAATCTCTACAAACTCTCCAGAAAACAGAAGAAAAGGGAGGGGAGGTGAATAAAATTAAAATACATTCTACACATTGAAGCCACCCCGAACGTGATGGGGAGGAGACTAAAGTATGTTATGTGCATGTACAAATCTGCCAGCATGAGGACAATAAATCTGTATGACCAGCTGGGCCTGATGGCACATGTCAGCATTCAGGAGGCTGAGGCAGGAGGATCCCTGCTGGTTCAAGGCCAGCCTGGGCTACCTAGCAAGACCCTGTCTCAAAAAACTAAAACCAAGGAGAGAGAGAGGGAGAGAGAGAGGGAGAGAAGGAGCAAAGGAGGGAGGGAGAGAGAAAAGCAGAGATATTTGTAGATCATATATTTGACAAAAAACCCTTCTCAGTAATAAAAAGGCAAACAGCTGAACTAAAAAGTGGGCAGAAGCCACGAGCAGCAATTTCTCTGAAGGCCTGAGAGGACCCAGGATGGGGCAGGAAGGACAGACAGAGGCTGCACCTCAGCCATGGGGAAAATGCAAATCTAAGCGCAGCCTGAGGCCACTTCACATCTACCAGGCAGGGAGAGCAGCCTGGGTGTTCCCCAAACCAGACGTGGCACCCATGTGACCCAGCAATCTCTCTCCAGGCAGATGTCTACAGTGTTCACACATGAAATTGGACATGAACGTCCACAGCAGCATTAGCACAACATTATGAAATGAAATGAAAACAAGCCACTTGTCTACAACTGACCCATGAGCAAATCAAAAGGGTCTATGCACACAGTGGAACATTACACTGCCACGAAAAAGAAGGACCATACAGCAGGAAACGCACCTTAAAAACGTGCACTCGAACATTTCTAGCTAAATGGATGCACCTCGTGACCATACTAAGTGAAATAAATTGGACACACGTGTTTAAATACCGCGTGGTCTCTCTGGTATGAGAAACCAAAAGTGGAAATAAAACTAACGTGTACAATGGATGTTGGGAAATGGGATGAGAAGAGGAACAAGGGAGGGGGAGGGAGAAAGGAAGGGACAAGAAAATAAAGTGAAAAGAGAAGGAAAAAATGGAAACACAGCTTTTGTGCATAGGGAAGGGAGGGGGCTTGTGGAGAGGGGAGAGTGGGAAAAAGACACAGGATGTACCATGTACAGGTGCAAATTCCCTATGATGAGAGTTATCATTATGTGTGCCTAAAATGCACAATAAATGTTTTGCTATTTTAAAAAAGTATACTCTAGCCGGGCGTGGTGACACGCCTGTAATCCCAGCACTCGGGAGGCTGAGGCAGGAGGACCCCTGTGAATCCAAGGCCAGCCTCAACTACACGGTGAGACCCTGTCTCAAAAAAAAAAATAAGTGTGCTCTTACAGATACCACTAAGTGAATGAAGCCCATCCCAAAACCTGTTCTGTGTGGTTGTGTTTACACGAACTTTCCAGCCTGGGCAACTCCACGGCGTAGGAAGAAAATCAGTGGCTGCCTCTGCCTGGCTGACAGGAGGGCTGGGGACCGACAATGAGCACGGCTTTCTCTTCTGGACGATGGGGTGTTGTAAAAGTGGGTTATGGTGATGGCCGCCTGCGAATATGTGAAAACCCAATGAATTCTGCACTTTAAAAGAGTGCACTGATCCAGGATGGCGGCAAATCGCTGTAACCTCAGCACTCTGGGAGGCTGAGGCAGAAGTATCGCCTTGAGTATGAGATCAGCCTTGGACTATGTAGCACAACTCTGTCTCAGCCACAACCCCTGCACCACCAGAAAGAGAAGGCCGAGGTGTAGAGAAACGGGCAAGGCCCTGGGTTCAATTCCCAGCTGTTGTTTTAATGTTGTTGTTGTTATCTGATTGAACTCAGGAGCCTGAGCTTGGGAGGCAGGCGCGGTGCCACTGAGCTAAATCCCTGGCCCTCATGGGACTTTTTATTCCCTTTGCCAGGCAAGTGCTCTGCCTGAGCCGCGCCCAGCCCGTCACCCCCCTGGGAGCCCAAGGTGACTTTGGGAATGGGCTTCTGGGGTGACGTCACTGCACATGGGCCAACGGGGCGCTGGGGCTGTGCGAGCCGGGGGGAACATGGACAGGGCGGTGTTAGGGCTCATTACACATTTGATGTCTTTATGTTCTACGGCGCTGTTTAACCCCCTAGTAATGTGCAATGTCACTGTGTGCTATGATCCAGGGAAGGTGACAACTGTGGTCTTGGACAGCAGGCCTGGGTGCTGTGGGAGTGGCCACTTTCTGTGTGCCAAAACTCGGCACGTCTGGGCCATTCCTAGCTGTTTCCTCACCTTGAAGAAGGGGTTAATACAGGAATACTGTTCAGTGTGTTTGGTTGAGACAGGGTGGTTCAGGTCGGCCTCAAACTCAACTGTGTAGCCTGGCTGGCCTTGAACTGGAGGAAATCTTCCTGCCTCAGCCTCCTGAGTGCTGGGATTACAGGCTGGAATTATGTTTTCTAATTAAGTTCTTTTTTCTTTTTCTGGTAACAGGAATCAAACTCATGATCTTGCACTTGCCGGGCATGTGCAGTGCCACTAGTTACACCCCCTGTTTCTGATTAAGTGTTATGCCCTTCCTATGAAATGGACAGGAACTGGATATATCTGAACCTGGCTGCTCTACGGCCATACCACCCTGAACGCGCCCAATCTCGTCTGAACCCGGCCGGTCGGGTTTGGTTTTTGTTTTGTTTTTGGTAACAGAGATTGAACTCAGGTCCTTGCACTTGCAAGACAGGCAGCGGAACCACTCAGCTAAATCCCCAGCCCATAATTAAACATGATTAGGGCTTAGTTTTCCTGTCTACAGGCCAGCTCCAGCTGTTGAGACATAACTCCATTTTCTTGTTTTTGGTACCGGGGATTGCGCTTGTGAGGGAGGCAGCTGAACCGCTGAGCTAAATCTCTTGTCGGTTGGGTTTTTATAGAAGGCTGCAGGCGGGGTGGCTTCTGGTGTGTGACGGACCCCTCCCCACAGCACCACCCTAGGTCCTGCATCACAGGTGCTGTCCACACCCCACCCTGTCCTACTGCCCCAGCATCTCCTCGCTGGCAGGGCATGGAAAGAGGCGCTCAAGGGCAGGATTCTGGCTGGGGCTTGGCTGTCTGGCCACCTCTGGAGACACTGCAGAGCCCCTCTGCTAGTTATTTATTTACTTATGTGTTTACTTTGGTACTGAGGGTTAACCCAAGGCCTTTGCACTGAGCTATATCCCCAGCCCTTTTTATATTTTCTGCATTTTGAGTCAGGGTCTTTCTAAAAGATTCTAAATTGACCAGGCTTGGCTGGAACTTGGGATCCTCCTGCCTCAGCCTCCTAGAGTGCTAGGATTGCAGGCAAGTGCCACCACACCCAGCCCCCTCTGCTATTTATATATCACTATGCTTTTCCTAACTACCTGTCCCTCTTCTGGGAACCACAGGCATCCTCCTGCCTCAGCCTCCCAAGCAGCTAGGATGACAGTGCGTGCCACCCTTTCCGTATGGACTGACTCCCCCCACATGGCTGGAAGTTTGCAGCACGAGATGCCACAGCAGCACGCACGTCTGTCTCTCTCCATGTTTTCAGGGATGCAAGATCTGACACCATGAAATCGGTGCCTGATTTTATCTTTCTGTGTTAAGCACAGAGCTCCCCAGTCAGGGGAAGCACTTGGCGGTCTCTCACTTGGGCACAGCCAACTGCTGACACCACTGTGCTCGCGCCTCAGGCAATAAGCAAGGGAGAGTGGACTGGACACAAGCACACGCACGGGAGGACAGCAGGGCCATGGCAGGGACAGCTCTCAGTGACTAGCGGGCAGTGCCCCAGTGGGGTTCACTGGGCAGAGGGAAGGGATGGCCTGGGTCTTGGGCAGGAGATTTCATCATGTGGCTGGCAGTGGTGGTGCACGCCTGTGATCCCACATCACATAGTGAAAACCTGT